TTCATTTTTGTATCTTTATATCTTAGACATTTTTACTACAGTTAAATGATATTTTTTTTTGTATTAATAAAAATTATATATTTTTTATGACTCCATTGATGTTATCTTAACACGAAACAATCCCATTTATATGAATATGCAAAATTATAAATTTACATAATTATTTGTGATCACATATGAATCGGTTTTATTAATTTTTTATGTTCGTTATAAACAATGGCCTTTAGGTTGCGTAATAAAAGATGACCTACTCGCGTTCATATTAGAAACATAACAGAATATATGTCTTTATTGAGGTATATATGTTATTTATATATCATTATATATGGACTCGTTCGGTGTTCAATATAATAAAAATATTGCTTATTAGTTTATACTTGACCAATATCACGTGTTATTTAAAACGGTCGCCAAAGAACGTCATATCGAGAGCTCATGAGTGCTGTTTCAACATTTTTATTGGTTTTATAAGATTTTTTGATAAGGATATAATTTGCGAGAAATTAAATTGGGGACAATAACGAGATATTGTCGACGATAATACATTTCACGTGTTCGAGAGCGACAGGTAACGTAAATCGCGATGAGTTACAACACGTAGATACAACCGGAAGGTTAGGTTACACCGGCCGCGCCTCTGGAAACTTATATATGTTTATTACAGAAATGTTTATGATTTTATTTTAATATTACATTCTGATACAATCACAGTTGTGTTGGAGAAAGATTCTTATATCATCGGACGTGTTTTAGGTGGCGTTGTGGGTTATAAAGAATTTTTGGGGTTTCAAAATGAAAACCTAGGAGATTAGAAGTCAATGATTTCACATGTCCTTAAGATAAATATTAAAAAAAACGAATGAAAATTTTAAAATTTTTGTAACATAAGAATCATTATTGCAGGGAACAATATTTAATTTTTAATTGACATTTTTTTGCTTTACTATTATTAATTTATGTATGAATGAATAATTTAGTTTTATAACTTAGTAATGAAAATTATATGATAGCTACATCTCCACAACAGCGAGCTTTGGTCTGAGATAATTTTGTCTGAGCGCTATATACTGTAGGTGATGAAGAAATTATTGAATTCATGAAACGTGCCGTTTTGCTGCCTGTTCTCATATCAGTCAAACAATTTCATTGTATTAAGACAGATTATTCAGAAACATTGTAATATATTTTATATAAATAGTTATGTTCTAGAAAAGACGTAATGACAACAGCAATTTAAATAATAATAAGCAATTAAATATAATTTTCACATAAAATCAACCATAGACAGGCCATATAATGTAAAGCCTACAATGTGACAAATGCCATAATTAGCAGAGCTGTTAAAACTCTTAACAGGTTATTATCACATTTGTCAAGTCCATAAACCTGATATATTCTTATTAAAACATAAATAGCTAGTTACTCTCACATTGTTGTATACTACAAAATAAGTTATACAAGCTTTTCCCGCGGTTTGCGATGCTATCAGGTCGTAAAGTAACTCCGTGCTACGGTTTTGATGAATAACTGAATTCAGATATTTTTGAATATTTCTTCTCATAACAGTTCTACTTTTTGGCACATCCAATTGCACAGTTTTTTTTATAAAAGACAATTTCAAATATAATAAAGTCATTTTCCACTCAATGTAAATGAAGACAAGTTTTTCAAAGTGTAATATGAAAGTAGTTTTGATAAGTTTATTTATATAAATAATCATTGGGCTGTTTAACTCGAAACCAAGAAAACTGTTTGAGATATTTTAATACGTGGCCTTTGTTATTAGTTTAAGGAGTATAAACTAATCTTCTGTGGTTATGAATATCTTCCTTAATAAATATTCTAAGATTCGAATTAATAATTATTATTGTGTTTGAATCCTCTAGTTTGGTCTCCTTCATCATAAGATCTGCTGATGCCAATTAACAGAATCTGGACTCGCCGAGATGAAGCTGGATGAAAGTTATTATACTGCCATAGATATGTCATCTTGAATTACGATCTAAGCACTTAGTGCTCTACTCCTCTTACTTATAAAAGGAATGTTGGTTGACCAATTTATAAGTAATATAATGATTTTATTACTACTGATTTAAAGCTATAATTAATCTCATTAATTCCGAGTGTACCGTATGACAAAATAATTGCTATGTACTTTATGAAGTTGACATCTGTAGTGTTGGAATAGTGTTAAGTATGCGTTTAATAACTTAATTAGCGTGAAAACCTTAAGAAGATCAAAAATCTCATTGGAATCCGCTGCTCCACTTCCGAAATGTCTATTGGGCAGACGTCTTAATAAATCAGAGCCATGTAAGGTTGTAATGACATGGTTTTTTGGAAGAATACAAGGTGTAATCTCAATTAGGACAATATATTTACTCGTTAAAATCAGACTGTCTTAAGTCTTTTGGATGGTACAGTCGTGCGCGCAGTATATAACCATTTTAGTTGTGTTTCACCCATGATAACATAAAGATGTGCGAGGTAATTAATTATCGTTAACACGGACAATACGCACATTATTTATAACAAGAAGTGTAATTTATATAACAGTTGAAATAGTTCCAAGTAATGTAATGGATCGAGATCTAGATATAACGTCACTGACTCAGCAGGGTGTAATTTAAACCTGCCTTTATGGGATGCGAGCAAGAAGCCTAATTACCTGCTAAGATGACATTTTTAAACCCCATATTTAGCATTCTATTATAAAAAAGAACTATTTCAATCATAGACTATAAGGTATTTTTAATCGTACTTTTCGACGCGGTTGTCCACTACTCAATAATGTAAAGTCCCCATTAAACTCACTAACGAGCTACATTTCTTTTCGCCCGCAAATGCCGGCTATATCTGGGAATGACTGACCGCCGGGCATTCTGAAAAAATTATGATTTGTTACTACGGAGCGGCATGACTTCGCATGAATTGAGTGACAAAAATCTTGTCAAAAGCACTATTGTTCTGGTTTCGATTTTATCTTATTGTATACATCGTAGAGATGATTTCTGCTTGGCCGAAGAGGTGTTGGATTGAGAAAGGAAAGAGTTAACAATATCAATTAAATCTGTTAAGGCTTTATTGTGCTTGCCTTATTAAGATAAGTACAGTTACGGGAACAAATAAGAGCAGTTTGCATGTGGCAGATCGAGATTTTAATTAAATATTAATTTAACTCATGACTTATATTTTTCATAAAATTAAAAGTATATGTACAAGTTTTCGAAATTCTTCACAAATAAGGGGGTAAGCACAGGTGAAACTAGAAAAAGGTAGTAAGTAATAGCAACATTTTTAAGACATTATTTTCAAATATTCTTTTCCAACTATCGTATTTTAAAGAAAGACATTAACTTTTTGAATTCTACTTAATAATATATTTTATTTTGTGGCCCTAAGATTCCTGAGAGCAAGCATATCCGAAATGAAATGCATACTTTATTTGTCTTCACAATGCATTGCCTCCGTCCAATTCAAATTACACAGTTGTTAACAGTAGCACCACTGCATAATGTATACTAAAATATTTGTTTTCCGACCGATACTTTCCTAATACAAACTATAGTGTACACAATACATTGTCAGTATTATAATGAATAGGGATGTGAATGTTGATTTATGTCCACCGATGGAAATGTGTCACGGGAAACGCTCAACCAAGTAGTCATATGAATATGTAATTCATTGTTTGTAAGTCATATTTACAAACAAACTTAAAATTTCTAATCCCGTTGAAAATTATGCAAATTGAGTTTGTCAAACAAGCTATGATAAACTATGATTATGACCTCTTTTACATATACGTATGAGTAAGGATAAAATAAAAATAATCTAAAGGCACTCACATTTTATTTATCTTTCAAATATATTATTTTATAAACGTTAAAAAAATATATAAACACGTCGATAAATGTATCACACTGATAACAGACAACTATACTTAAATTAATTATATCAAAGTTTATAGGAATCCTCGTAATGTACTAGATAAACAATTATATTATTTATTATATTAAATGACACTATTTATCGAATGTATAATACAGTTTGTTGCAAACTATTTTAAGAACAAACATAAAAAATAAAGGATAAAAGACGTTATCAAATAATAATTGAAATAACAGAACAATGAGAATTAGAATAGTACTACTACAGCTAAAAGGAATGTATAAAAAAACTCCAACAATACTAAAGTAACAATGACGAAGTTAAACAAAATGTTCTATAAATTATAAAAAATAACTCTAGGAGATTCTTACATAAAATGACTCAATTAACTGGCCTAACTATAATAAATAAGTGGACGATAAGAAAAACTAGAGCTATATATATTTATTACTTATTTGTACATTTTAATTTTGAGCTTCACAAACGACTGGCCGGAATCCCACTTAAACAAACTAACATGGTAATACAATACAACTGGCATAGTTTTAGCAACTGGCACATTAGAGTTTAAATATTAATACGAATGAATCTTTACATTTATGAAGATATATAATACAAATGATATTAATGAAATTACAATATTACTAAAAATTAACAGGCTGCCACAACACACGTTCTATATCACAAAAACTGACTTAAAACGGATACACATTGAGTCAGTCTCGTTTCTTTCGGACGGAGTTCATAATTTAAGTGCGTATTATGCAAATGACCGTACAAGTTCTGATATATTTTCTTTATTAAATAATATCCATGACACATTTTTATATCACCTGCTCTAACATCCTCTACAATCTTTTATTACTACTACTATACTACAAAATTAATATAAAAAATCAACGCTACATTATGGTAGAAAGTTCAGGTAATGTATAGAGAAGGAATGTGAATTACTTAAATACGATATGGCGGAGCATTTTAAAATCATAAAGTGATCAAATCTTTACTATAAATATTAATAATAACACCAATATTTACATATTCTTAAATAGTAACACGAGATTCATGGCTCTGAGAAACATATAATAAATATTAGAATTGCTTTTTTTCTAGCCAGTCATCGGAACTTCCTCGGCTCGTTTTGATACAAGACTCAAATCGAGGGGATTCTTCATGATGTCTTTACCGTTATCGTCATTCAGATCGATACTCAACTCGGGTTCAGAATCACTCACTTCGGTTTTTGAATTTCTAAATATGACTGCTGTAGATTTAATAGACAGATCTATGGGTTGGTCTTGTTCGATGGCAACGCCGGCAATCGCCGGGGATTGGAGTAACAAATCCCCACCACTACGATTTTGCCAAGCTATTCCTGATGGCACTGATCTCATATTTGTCATTGGAGTTGGTAGATATGGGGCGCTCCGTGAAAACGAAAAACCAGACGCAGCGCCCATGGCACCAAATGGCGAAGGTGGCAACGTTGATGGCTTTTTTCTTCTCACATCTTTATTTTGATTTCTGATTGCCTGTATCCGAGTGTCTTTTTCACTGCTAGGTGATGAGGCGGGTCTGAAAATACTCAAACCGCTGGTACTCCTGGAACTATTATCATCCTCTGGGTCAGCTGAAGAAGCACCAGAATCGGAAGGCGAAACGCTCTGCCGCGTCACTTCATCGGTGAAAACATTCTTTTCTGTACTCTTATAATATTCCGCAAGAGCGGCGGCCGGCAAAAGATTTGTTGGCAAGAAAGATGGGCTGATGGAAGTATTTAATGTGGTTTGTGATTTACTTGTCTGTAATTGTTGCATGTGTTGTTGCTGCTGCTCTTGTAAAAGGCAGTGGATCTTAAACCAGTTCGATCTTCGCCCGTAACGTGATCCTGATTTGGACATGCCGACTAGCAAACATTTCCGCAACCTGCATGCCTTGCAAGCCGTCCTGTTTTTCTTATTGATGACACATTCACCATTGTTCTTGCATTCAGAAATCGAGGAGAGGTTGTTGTACGTTCGCCCGAAGAACGACTGCAACAATATAGAAATACAATATTAATAAAAGAAAATTAAAAAAGGGCATCGCTGTTAGTAAAAAACCGTCGGCATCCATTTCATAAATGCGACTTCATTAATTTAGTTTAATATATCGACAGAGTTCCGCGGCTCTCGCATTAAAAAATAGTAATTTATATCCCTTACAGTTAAAAAGTCGCATGTGGTTCATTTGGGACCATCTCTGTACGGAATTATAAACATTTTTCAAAAAGTCATCATAAAAAGAATTGAGACGGCTTATCGAAATCTGGGTCACCGCTGGAAAGGTTAATATTGCAGAGGCAGTCTTGTATCCTGTTGTGTCTTTGACGTAAATAATGAGAGTGATTCTCAGATATTTTTGGATAAATATGGAAGTTTTCCCGCTGTGAACAGCCTCGACTCATTTTTTACTCAATTAACGTTTTACGAAAGCGTAAAATACGTGTATCTGCTACAGTTTCATCATGCTGTTTAACGTAAATTATGATCTGTCACATTCTTCGAGATTATACTTAATAATAATTTTGATTGCATATTGCATTTGACCAGAACGTTTTGGACCTCGTTGAATTAAGTTTCTTTTGGGGATTTGCATATTTTGTAATGTCTAAAATTACATTACCTTAAAGATCAATAACAAATATGTTTTTATGAACATCAAAACTTTTCTTGAATCTTATTTTATCCAATAAAATTTTAATTTTGTGTTTCTAACAGCAACAGATAGAGATGATGCTTACATAACAATAACATTTATACATTAAGCTTTACTAATTTGTTACGTCTTTATCTTGATGAAATGTTCTCTTTATTCGTATTTACAAATTGTGTTGACCATTTTTAAGATGATCAGATTATGAGTCAAAGGTAACCTTGTTTAGAGCGCGCCCATAACGTTCTACATGATGCTATGTCAATTGTACCGTGTCCAGCAAACAAGTGAACTGTATTCGCGAATGAGTCACTAGATTAGAAATTTCAGATAAGTCCTTCTTCGTTATGGGCGCGGATGTTATGTTGCAGATACGACCCTCTAATTGTGCGTATACGTGACTTGATTTACTTCTGTTACGAGAAATGTTAGATAACTCTACAATATATTTTAAAGCCTATAAAATATTATGTAGGCAGGGGAGATGAGATTACAGGCTACATTGAAACGGAAACAGCTTTATTAAGCTCTGTATATTATACGGGTATAAATGATATGCGTTAATATATCGTTGAATAATCAATACACATGTATTTAAAGATCCAATTCTAAATTGTTTCTCTTCAAGTCACTCGTAGCGTTAATCATAATGCAGTGCTAGAAAAGTATAATCATGCGAGCCGTCAAAAGGAAGATAGTAATGAGGTATTTTATACAGTAAATTGTAACGCAATTATTTTATATAATATGAATAATGGATGACATGTCATTACTCTCGATATAGGTGTCGATGGCTAAAACGGTCAGAATATATCTGATGCCACGAGAAACTAGACGGCTATCTCATTTAGATCGATATTATCTTAAACTTTTGTTGGACTGACGCTTTTTATAGCGACGTATCATACTCAGTTATAATAATGGTTCTGATTACAATACATAATCTAACAATACAAAGATTTTTATGAATCATAATTTGCAATCGATCCATTTGAAATACGACAAATTAATTGTAATCTATATAAATAATAATGTAACTTTCTAAATCTCCCTTCGGTATCAAAAGTAACAGCAATCATTTTAATTGAAACGACATCAAAGTCCGTTACAGATTGACAGTATAATCACAGTCTTCACTGACAGTTGGTCGGTTGAAGACTTGTGTCAGGTAGGAAAGAATAACCGAATATTTGACTTCATAAATCCTTTAATATTTAAATATGTACTACTTATAATAATATACTGTTACTAATAACGAATATAGAAATATTAATTCAAAAAAATGAAAATTTACTCGTTATTCACAATTTCAATTCACGGTTTAAACTCCAACGAAACTTGGATGAAATCTAAACGTATTAAGAAGGAAAAAAACTTTTCATACATATTAATGGTGCAATAAAATTACGTATATTTACAAATGTTTTTCACTTAGACATCCTATTATTTCCTACAAACATTTTAATGTAGGACCTCATATAATTTATTTAAAAAAAAGTATAGCGCTAAGATCAGATTCTGATAAGAGAAAATTATACAATAATTAACGTAATCTTAATAAAAGACTTTAAATTACATGTAAAGGTTTTGTTACCTTGAATAAATAATGTTATTTGGAAGTTTTTATTATCAATTAAGGTACAACATTTGCTTACAAATGACACAAAAATAATAAATTCATGTATTTGATAACATCTAATTAACACAAATAAAATAGACAGATCGACGATTCAATTGTTTAATTATGGAAAATTAGTATAAATTATGTATATGTAATATTATTTTACGAAGAACTTTATAAGCACATTTTCATAAAACACTTGTTGGGAATCATTCAGAGTTATTTATTATATCTGGATTATGTGATAGTCAGATGAAAGTCTTAAAATGTATCATAAAATAAACAGAAAATTAGAAAGTAATTATAATTTTACGACAAATAAAACTGCTTAATCGTATAGATAACGTTTAAAGTCGTTTACGATTTTGTAACAAGTATCTTGATTGAGATGTTCATGCTACTGGCTCATGTAAAGTTTACTGATGGCCATTTAAATATATAACACTATAGCTTATACGAGGTTGCAATACGAGTATAGCACTTAATTTTCGATCTTTGAAACTATACAAAAATCTGGGGAAAACTTTATCGTTATTGTTTAAAGACAACGCCAAGTGTGAAATGTTTCCCAATTTTTATGACTGAATTTAACTAATATAATGTATTCGGGTATAAGTCAATTGTAAGTGTACATAAAATGTATAAGCTTGTTTCTTTATATATTTAATGTTAATGAAATGGTCTAAAATTAACTCGATTCCTATAAAATTAAATGGTTTTACTTTGATGCACCTGACTTTAGTGTTTAACGTTACCTTATTTAGGAGTTAATTGTGTTTGTTAATCAGTGATTACTGGACCATAATCATCCATCAATAAACCTCTTAACTATGTAATCGTGAATGTACCTGATCAAGGTAAATGAACTTCATTTAACTATAACAGCTTTCTTAAATTATAATTCTATGTAATATATATTGTAACATTTTCATTCAAAAACACATACCCTGTCATATTTGTCTTAATCTTTCAATGAATGAACCGAAGCATGCAAGCATAACTATGTAAAGCAGCTTGAAAATACAGTTACAATATTTCGTTGCTTATTAAATTTTACAACGACCAGCCTCTAGTAATCATGGACTTTAAGACGTATGTGAATAGCGTGAAAAAGGTTCATAAATTAAACAAAGATCCAAATCATATATCACGTGGTATGTCAAATAGTAGGAATTTTGATTGTGCGTGTAGGCGTGGCTGATATTCACACGGCCTTTTGAATAATAAAGCTATTTTTACAATTTCGAATTTTCCATAAGCTTATAATATAAGTGAGTTATGATTGGAACGGAAACCAAAATTTGTTTTGAGTTCATTTTAATACAAGATTCTCTGGTCGTAGATTTTTTGTGTATAAATCAAATCATTGTTATAATAACTCATTTAATAATTGAATCAATTATAAAACACTTTATTTTGATGTGATTATATTTGAATTGTATGATAATAAAATACAAAGTGAACATTCCTATTCGAATTGCCTATATTCCATATAGCGGTTTGAGTTTGAACATCAATGTCGCGAGTTGAAACACGTGTCCGAACTAACGGATGATCCTGTAAGGTCCTGGCTTCGAATTTACATAACATAGCGTTTGGCCTAAATATAAATCAGGCTGTCAATGCTCTAATAATTCTAGCATTGCATCGGATAACATGTCTGTAGCCATGACTTGTTCTCAAGCTCTACTAGTTTAATATGAATGACTTACGACTGTTGTATATATGTGAGAAATGTTTTATATAATTGTTAGAACATCTAGATCCGTAAAACGGACAAAGGGACAAAGTGATTCATACAATAAGGTTAAACGTTACACATTCAATGTTTACGGACGATAATAACATGTTTGTGATATTCTCACGGTGATGTTTGTTATAAATATGATAGAACGACGTCTATTACATCCCATTCCGTCTTCTGAACAGCTCATCTCGTAAGATGGCAACGAATTCTGAGCTGGTTCGTCTCATAAACTGGTTCCCTATAACTGTGCGCGAAACAACATAGCAATAAATAATATCTCGAGATTCTGAATGGGCTCGGCTTAATAGTAACGTTTTAATACATTCGTATCCATCAAATTGTTTTATAATATCGTAAAATGAATTAGAAAATAATTATGAATACTAATATATAAGTATGCGTATATATATAACTAATTTGTGTTTAAAATGTTATGCAATTCATATCCAATTGCATTTCGCAAGTGATGTACAATATATGGTTATAACTATTACATAAAGGTGTCAAGTGTCTGTAAATATTGAATGTGACTTGCACCGAGATATTTTATTGAGTGATACTTCATAAATGTCAAACATTCGGTTGAAATATTAATTGTGGCTTAGATTATACAAGTTGTCCGGTTTTGTCCTTTATTTAAAATTTTTAGCATGATAAAATTTTTCTTGTACATAAACAGTTGTAATATTTGTGTCTAAGGAAAACTATAAACATTGTAATTAATACTTTTCAATATAGTGACATTTTTTCTATATATTATACGTTTATTTTTAGATATCACATAATCATTGATTGAGAGATGAAAATCAAAATGTATCGTTTACGAAAATAAAGTCAAAAATGTTTTCTTAAATTTTATTCTCACTGAGCCGCGAGTCAAACCCACGGATATGCAAATCAAGGGCGAGACTTTATGTTTTGGATTTTTATTGTACTTTTTATTCGTGTGTTAATATCAGGCTTAGCTGTGATTTTGAAATGTTGCCGGGTCGTAGGTCAACATACAAACAGGTTACGGACGTCCAAATAATTTACAATATAATGTCTAGTATGTACGTTGGTTGTATGCAATATTCTAGATTGTTCAGGGTACATCTTAGAACACATAGTTGTCCAGATGCCAAAGAATCTCACCATCTGACAATATAGTCACAGATAAAGATCTGGTAGCCCTTTAGATTGCAGTCATGTAACTCGGCGCCTTTGTAACTACTTCTAACATATTATCCTTATTTCACAACAACATAAAATTCTTCGAATTTAAGTTATATTTGATACGTGAGTGATACGGATCTAGTAATATGGAGTAAAAATTCCTATGACTCAACAAATGTAGGCAATTGAAGACATCGCATAAACAGTCATACTCTATAAATATATATTACGAATACTATATTTTATGCTATAAATATCAACATATATATTATAATTATAATCTCACTTTTAGAAGACAGACTCTTTTTTTCTCAACTTAATTTAATATTGTACTTAATTATGTTAATATAAAATTATATTCAAGTGTTGGTAATTAACCAAATAATATCAATTAAATACAACCGGTTCTGTAAACTGCGTAATAAATATTAAACAACAGATTTATAACATACGTCCGAGTTAATAATCATTAAATAGGAACGAGTACTAGATATTGTACAAATATGATAATATTATGAACTAATAAAATTATAAGCAATTATCTTTTAAATGAAACAATTTAAAAATAATATTTTTTTCTTAAAAAGACGCAAACTCTATAGAGTTTAGGCTATAGGGATCATTGATCACTCATAATTTGTGAAATTCTTTGATCACGCCCAAAAATATTTAATCCGACAGGACGTGGCACGCCGCGTGTCAATAAAATGGGTTTTTTATACTTAACAATTTGAGTTGTATCGATAGTCGTATAATAAGAATAATAAACGATGCACGGATACAATTTGACGGTAAAGGGTTGGCGTAGGCGAGGATCGCGTTATGCAACGACTGTTCAGAATAAAGATCTGGAAGTCCATTCATTAAATTACTTATTAGTATAAAATCATTTATTACTTGAGTTTTTTTCCGCTAAAATTTATTACCTATTACC